GCATTCGATACCTGAGCAAACTGAATGAATTTCCTTTGAAAATTCCAGCTTTGTGTCAATTGTCACACAGACTTCTCTCCGACTCTTTACTACCAATGCATAGTAGCTTCTAACCACTTTTTCGTGGGTTGATTGGGTTGTCAACATTCAAACCAGCCTTATGATTATCACGTGGAATATGCGTTAATTTGTTGTCCCGCATCAAATAAGGCCAGTTCAGAGAGTACAGAGTAGATGACACTTACGGCGGCAACATCACTCGTGATTAATGTGGATCTTTTCGGTGTGTGTAGGAAAGTTAACTACCACCGCAGCGGCTTCAGGGCTACTGAAGAGATCCCGTCAAAGCTTTATCGAATACGCTAAATTATCTGCTCTATCATAAGGTCCCCATTCACACTGCAGCCCTTCCATCAGCCCAACTTTTGAGCGAATCGACATTATAGCGCTGCATATCTGCGGAGGTTAAATCCGAGGACGTCCTCAACATTGTGCCATCAAGTGCTCGCTGGCGTGTCACAAAGTGTGTAAAAAAAGTAACTCCCTAGCCTTATTCTGAATACTGAATACTGTATTATAGAGCAAGTAGAAATGGATTCTGTACAACTCTTTCGAAATATTGTGAAAAACATTATAATAGTTGTCAACCGTGAATATCCTTGTCGTTCTCATGTAATATTTAAAGTATTCGACTTACGATATTTCAGGATTCACAAATGTGATATGTCATCGTAAGTGTGCAGTCGTTCTCTGAATCGAATAGAGGCAAAATGCAAATCTAACAACGTTTTGAACTGTTGCACAGATGTTGCCTCAATCACATGTTCGGGCAAACTATTCCAAATATTTACCACTCTCCGTTCGAAGCACAGTGGGTGTGGAACACGTTTCATATCCGGCACAACAAGTTTGTATCTGTGTCCGCGTGTGCTGCATGGCCCTCGTAAGTGCAGCATTGGCCTTAACATGGGGAACTCACCGAGATGTAGAATTCGGTAGGTCATAATGAGGTCGACTCGCACCCGACGGTAGGACAAGGTGTAGAGTCCTAATTTCTCGCACCGGTCTTCATACCCAAAGCCACGTAAACTCGGGATCAGCCTGGTAGCAACGTGTTGGACCCGTTCGATCTTTTGTGCCTCGCCTCGGGTAATCGGAAAGTAGGCGGGCGAACCGTACTCTAGCATTGGCCTAATGATAGAAGAGAACAGGCGAGTGGCAACCGCTTCAGACCATGTGCCGAAGCTACGTTTGAGCGCCCAAAGCATGCGCAGTCCGTTACGATATAGCCTGTTCGCGTTGTCCACGGACTTCAAATCGTAGCGTGTGAGTACACCTAGGTCCTTCACGGAGGGTGTGGGATATAGTGTTTGGCCGTCAAGGGTGTAGGTTCAGCCGTTAGCCCCCTTCCCCAGGCTCATAAATACCGACTTGGCTGGGTTGACCGGGAGAAGAACTTCTGCAGTCAATGTGGATAAGCGGTTGAGATCTTGCTGAAGTAGGCCACAGTCGTCGGGAGCGTCGATTTCTCTCCAAATCTTCATGTCGTCCGCAAACAAGGCACACGGCGACCGGAGAAGCTGCGGTAGATCGTTGATGTGGATCAGGAACAGAGTGGGCCCCAGCACGGTGCCTTGAGGCACGCCACTTGTGGAGGGATACCAGTCAGTTAGATGGTCGTCGACCTGTACCCTCCACTTTCGTCCAACAAGAAAGTCGCGGATCCACCAGTGCAGTGAGCCACCGACGCCACACAAGCTGAGTTTGTGAAGGAGAACCTCATGACTGACCTTGTCGAACGCTTTACTGAAATCGATGAATATCACATCGATGGACTTCCCCTTGTTTATTGCCTTCAACCACTCATGCCTCGTCACAAGCAGGTTAGTAATGCATGAGCGACCTTGCATAAAACCGTGCTGTGCGGGCGTCAGGACCTCGTTTGATTGTAGCAATTGCAGCAATCTCTTCTTCACGATTTTCTCAGCAACCTTTGCCAATATAGGTGTCAGACAAATTGGCCTGTAATTGTCTACTTTGCTAGGGTCGCCGCCTTTCGGAATAGGCTTCACCACCGCACATTTCCAGTCAACTGGCAACAAACCTTCGGAGAGCGACCTGTTGAAATGGTAAGTCACGATAGGAGAGAGGATGGTTGAAAGTGACTTGAGAACCAGTGGGTGAAGCCCATCAGGTCCGGCAGGTTTGGTGCCGTCAAGGTTGGCGAGTAGTTGAGCTACCCCTTCGACGCCGCAATGCAGACTATCGAGTTCGGTAAAAGCGGTACACGTCGAACTCGGAACAGACACCTGGTTATTCGCAAATACAGAAGCGAAGTGCGCCGCCAACGCGGACGCACGCTCAGTGCTGGAGGTTAGGGGCTGCCCATCCATGCCATCCAGCACTGGCACATCACCCGCCGGCTTCAGGCGTCGCTTCACGTATGCAAAGATTCTCTTTGGGGCGGTCTTCGCGGCTCATGCAAGCTGCTCTTCAAAGTGTCGGCGTTTATTCTTTTTTGCACTGTTGCAGAGATTCCGCTGACATTTATACCCTTCTTAATCATTGGCAGAGCCAGAGAGAAGGAAATTGTCCCACAGCCTGCGCCGCCTCCGAGCCAGGTTTCCATACTCCTTATCAAACCAATGAGGCTCAATCGGTCCAACCTTTCGACATTTCAGTGGCACAAATTTGGAACACAATGATGTCAATCTCTCTTTTATAAATATCCAACAATCTTCCACAGATGCAGTTTGTGACAGAGACCAATCCAGTTTGCTCGCGGCTCGAGCTAGACCATCGAAGTCCGTTTTCCAGTAGTTGGGAGCTGGTTGCAGCGGATGTGAATACGGCAAAGATAATTCTATATCAGCTATCAGTACTGAGTGGTCGCTTGTAGCCAGGGGCTCCAGGATCCTAACGTCACGCACTCATTGTTCGTAGCTCGTTAACATCAGGTCGAGACAGGACGAGGTTGAACGTGTTGATATGCGTGTTGGCTGGCATATGTGTTGCGATGCACCAGTTTCAAGTACCAAATCCACGAACTTTGCTTCAACCTCACTATGTCCAGGCATCAAATGCACATCAGGCCATCGTATTCGAGGACAGTTAAAATCGCCCATAAGCAGAAAGTGTGGACGACTCAAGTGGGTCCGAAGATGGGGCAGCCAATCCAAACAACGACTCAGGGGACTGCGATAAACTGCGCCCACGAGCAGTTCTCCGCGCCTGAGGCGGATGGAGCACCACAATAGCTCACACAGACCATCGTCACTTCGGTAGGTGCTCACAAGTCTCCCACACAGGGAAGACCGGATGTAAAGTAAGACACCACCGTGGGCATTCTTTAGTCTATCGCATCGGAAACAAGAGTAACCGTTGAGTTCAAGTTCTTGGGTGTATAACTCTGCATGCAGCCATGTCTCTGCGAGTCCCACTACGTCTGGCCGCTCAGACGCAACGAAACAACAAAGCTCATCGCGCTTATTCATAATACTGCAAACGTTTGTGAAGGCTACTCGCAGGCCGCAGCAGGAGCCACCGGGCGTGCTTGAAGTGTGAGCAGCCTGTTTATCCTGATTCGCGGATTGTTGGAAACCACCCGAAATTTTACGATACGAAGATTTGCTTTCCCCTCACCAGTGCGTTTTTTCAACTCAATGATGGCAGACTTGAGCCGCTCCCTGTCTACTGGGTCCAGGTCGGGACGAACATGGATCTTCAAACCTTTCAGCCAACTTAGGCGGGACATGATAAGTCTTGGACTGGCTTCGTCCACAAAAGTGATTCTCATAGGCCGATTTTGTTGATCACCTTGCTTTCCAAGACGGGTAATCTGCCTCACTTTTACCGAGTCCTCACCAGCGTCAAGGAGTCTATCAATTAGACCCTGTAAAAACTCGACATCGTGATCGTAGCGCACTTGGGGTGATGGATCACTGGACTCCGGTGCGTGAAAGATCACGAGATTATAACGCCTCTGGTCGGACGAGGTTGGCCTTGCAGGGCGAATTATACTACCAGCCTCAAGTGGTTTGGCTAACTGTTGACTTACAGAACGTAAACGCCCAACGTTCCTTCGTTATTTCGTCCTCGGATCTTTCCACTGATCTTCAGCACTCAGACTTTCACCTGCTGGGACATCAGTGTCCGGTGGACACAACAAAGGTAAACAATTTAGCCCAGGTGCAACTGGGCTTCTCACAACGGTTGGACTTCGTGTCAGTGAGTTTGCACGGGTAGAGGAGAACGACTGAGCCGAAACCTGAAGGCTCTTCGCGCTAGGTTGTTGGGCCAAACACACGGAGCTGTTCGCAACGAAACGCTGAGGACTACACGTCGGCTTTACTCTTTCTGGCTGTATCTGATTTCGGCAATTTTCACATATAGTTTGGACGAAATCGTGTTGGATCTCGCGAAGACGATGAAAATGCTCAACTGATAATCCAACACATGAAATATGGTATTTAACTTGGCAAAATGCACACGTGAGGGCATTTGCACGGTATCCGACTAGTTTGGAGCAAGTACCACAGGATGACTGCTTCGGCATTGCGCATTCTGCACAGAAGACCGGTTAACGTGCCCTCGAATTGCGTTAACCCAGATCCTTGAACCTTGAACAGACTTATTAGGTTCAAAATACCTCCGTAGGATAGCTACTCCAACGTTCGGTTAACAACGTGTAATGGGTAGATGTGATGAGGCAAGTTAATTCAGATAGCTCAGGTTGTTCATTTGTTAGACAAACTCTTCACAACAAAATTGCTAAGCTCAACGAACAGTTCCTCTAACAAAAGTGATGTGGAAAACAATGCAATGTCCCTATACGCTCCCTCGATCTACTTGGGGCTTGGGTTCAATTCATCCAACGTATACTGTTGCGAGCGTAGCCTATTTGACTCCTGCTGACGTCATTGTAATCGGGCGGATGTTCATCATGATATTGGACAACAAATGAAATGTAGGTGACAAAGATTTTTACCACTTTAACTCACCATGCATTTTTGCTGCCGCTTTCTTTATAAGGTCATCCATACCCTGTTTGAAAGTCTCTCCGGAGCCAGTAAGCGCCATGTTAGCAGCCGCAGTATAGTCCTCGGGTGACTCAGTGACACGCTCAGGTAAGAGTTCCTCTTGCGGCTCCTCGACATGTCTGCACGAAGGAAGTAGGGACATCACTGAACAGTAATTACGGTAACACCATCAACATACTAGCGGGGTCTTTACTGTAGTGTTCCACTGATCCGTATTTCAAATAGATATAAGGAAGACCTTTGTATAATAATATGGTTGTGAAAACATTTAACTGACATTTAGAATGTAGACAATAGCTTAATGCATTAAGTGTTTTTCTGTTACTGAGAACACTTAATGTTTTAAGGAAAGATTTCTAAGATTTTATAAATAGGAGAAATTCCTGTTTTCGGCCGTTATTTCCAACTGTTGGCTGTGGGAGCACAGTACATTTGTTTCTCAGGTAGTTTGCAGCCGTATACACCCATGTTTTTCATCTTGGCAATTGTTTATCTATCAAAACAACCACTTCACCATTTTTCATCCACTGCAAGAGAGCAATCAGTTTTTTGGCACACCAAGTTGTGTTCTCCTATCTAAATGTATACTGAATAGGTTTAAAGGTAGTAATTCAATAAACTAACATAATAAAAGTTTTATTGCAGGAAATAAGACATCAAACCTTTATGTCAAGAGAATCATACTTTTCTCGTTTATTATTTGAATTTGGATTTTCTCACTACACACCGGTGGAACGCTATCGCTCTTTACTTGGTGGAATCAAAAGTTGCATGCTATTTTCAGAGAGCAAGAAGGAACAGCGTTTCTACGGGATAACCTGAATTCAGATTATTTCGTGTCTTCTCATTCAGCAGCTTACAGACCAATCGTGGAAGGAGTAAAGGAATGCAAGTGCAAAAGGGAGTCAATAGGAAAATCAATAAAACACTGAGCAAACCAAGGTCATTGCCTGCGTCTTACCAGGGCAAGGCAAGACTGGCCACAAAGTCTATCTGTTTGCAAAGGTTCGGTTTCATTCGTCTGATGGCCGAGGCTTCAGCGAAACGAAGCAAGCTCGCGTTGTTTTGTCTGCTGATAACCTTGAATGCGTCACGTGGATTTTCGCACAAAGTACAATCGAGCAGATGCTGAGCGATGGAGCTGGCAGAGAGTTTAGGTCCACTATTTGCCAGGTTCCGTGGAACATGTTCCATGATCCTAGTTGATAGCCTTCTCTCAGTTCTACCAATGTACATGCTACCGCATGTTCGGGTTACTTTAGGTATCCTCTAAATGAGCAAATGTCCTGTGTATAGCCACTGGGGGTTGATGGCTTAAGCTTGAGTAAATTAAAGCTTAGTGACCATACATTCTTGAAAGACAAGACCAACCATACCATGCTAGAAGGCATTGCTGCTTTCACCTTCCCTGTCACCACACTAAGTGTTGAAGCGGTGGATTCCTTTGACGCCTGTCTGGTACGACCGTCGGGCTAACTCTGTTGTCGTAGAGTGCGCTGGGCTTGATTGCGGTTGACTTCCTCACACGACAACCCATTATCCAAACATGTTGCAGATAGGTGAACCTTACTGCTGTCATAGTATGCCCAACACTTGCAAGATCGTGGTTTGCTGACTGCTTTTCCAGAATCACCATTGGCCCAAGCAAGAAAATAGAAAATATCTGCAACGCTCCTTCTCGAAAGATCACGAAATACTAATTTTGTCATGGCCGGCAAATGATCGAATCAAAAGGAAATTTAAAATGAATTTCACTTTTAGCATTGCAACCACGTATATGTTTTCAGAATGTCTCCGAACATGGCTCAATGTGCGTTCCACAACACAATGGCAGTACGACAGTGCTGTTTAAAAGACATTCGGCATTTACCCTAAATGGTCCGTTGTAGGTTGTCATCGAATCAACAATTTAGAAGCCATCTTAGCTTTCAAGCTGTATGAGAGCTTTGTGGCATTTACCTCCACTGCACGCACGGAAACTTGTCGTAAAACCACGTGCACAGTGCATGCATTCAAAATAGCGTGTTTATTACCCTAGTTCTGGGACGTTGAAAAGTCCATCACCAATGTCATAGGGATGTGTACTCCTTAGTTCATGCCGATCTCCGAGCTTATTTGCCTGTTCACTTAAAATGTAGGTCTACAGTTCGCTAATGATTTCACCGATAGAATGTCGGGGCCGTCGAAGGAGATTTTTCGGAAACGGATACAACTGGTCATCAGATAGCTACCAAAAGAGCAGATGGCTAATTAATCGCTTGACGAACGCTAGTAGGAGTCAGGATTGAAGAAGCAAAGTCGGTACAAAAACGCTGAACCCAGTGCAGTAGCTGTGAAAACGTACGATACCACCTACTCAAAACGAAGCCTCCGTGCTCCTAGACAATGTTGGGTAACCCTTCAGAAACGGTCTGTCCGTTTTGCTTCTGTAACGTTGTCACGATATGGCGTTGTAGCACTTCGATAATGATGGTTACCTAGGAAGATGTGATACACTAAAACATGATGAGAAACCGGAAGTTTGAATACGGTTGGAGTTTAGTGTGACCCATCCAGTCTGGCCATCACCATAAAGACCATTTCATGTACCAGGAAAGAGAAAATGCTAGTGTTGTGTTGCTCCGTATGGATGACCCTTTTAATACCCAATCAGGCCGAGACAATCCAAAGTCTTGCAGTGCTTACAAAAATTCCCGGTTGGATACATGAAACCGACTTGACACTAGCCGCCACTAGCATGCAGGTGCAGGTTGTCGGCATTAGAGATAAAAGATTTCGGCATTGTTTTTTAGAAGTTGGCTACGTGCAAGCGCCGTTCAGCGCTCCGAACAGTTCACGTGGGCCGATAAAAAGACAAATGCGATTCCGGCCATCAAGCATCACTTTACTTCCTCGACCAACAGACAGCTGATGTTGTTGAGCAGCATAACTTGCTACTATCCTCATTCTAATACTGCGCTACCAACTCGCGGAAGTGAAATGATAACGCAGAGTGCTACAATTCATTGTGTGGTCTGTTTCAAGCTGGACAAACCCCAGAATATGCTCTATTAAGCTTACAGACAAAACGAAGGATTGCAATGTATTTTTCCGAACGTTGTTACCACAGGTGCACGCGGTGAACCAAAGCGCAATACGCAATATCAAAATCACATCTGTTTTAAGACGTGCAGAGATCGCAATGCCACAAAATTATCATTAAAGCTTACTGATCGAGGGAATTTTGAATTGATGAAAGCCAGATTGCTGCAAAAGGGATAAGAACTAGGGACAAACTGACCTTTTTCAGAGTTGCTCCAAGTAGTTTAATGTCCAGTGTAATGAACAACTGAAGTTGAATAACATCACTGGACATATTCGTGGATTACAATGGTCTCCTCCATCCATTGGCTAAGCAGAAGTGTATCGCAAAACGAGACGGTTCGTAGTTTGGACAACGCACTTGGTCACACGAATGGCAAAGTGGTCTCAACGCTACCTTGATGGTCTCCTTTTGAGGACGCTTATAGAGTGACTTGTGCCCCCGAAAACACAAGAACGCAACGGAAACGGAGTGCTGCGGTTTCTGGCAAGCAATATGCATCTACTGAATCAGTTGAATGTTTCGTCTGACAGGTAACCAGTAGGAAGTATTCACCGGACTTTGCTACCTATGTGCTGGCAGGCGGCGTTCAAATTGCTGACGCTAGAGCCTGGAGTGGTAAATGGCATTTGCACCTTACTCATTTATCTCCCAGATACCCGTGTACTCTCCTTACGCGGACGATGAATATACCTTTTGAACTGGCTATTTTGAAATACAGTTATCAGGGAAGTGCAAGGCGTTACCCGCCAGTAAATTTGCACTCCATGACTTGTCTTGTGCTTATCTGTACGCACCATCCCTTGAAGCCATCAGAACAAGATGGCAACAGATAATGATGCAGAAACAACTATCTATTTATGTTTACCAAACTGTCGACACACTCCCCTAGTCAGTTGTTTCCGACCAACACTAGCAATGTTTAAACAACAGTTGCATGACGCAGCCATCAACCTCTATGTTGTATCTCAACATGTTCTTTCCGTTCCAGTGTCGGGATATACCTTGGATTTACTGGCCATCATCTGCTCCTGTAGTGAGACGACGCAGGATGGACGACTATTGATTCACAAACAATGAAATAGGGGTCCGGTATAAACAATACATATACCGGCTGTCGTTTTAATGTCCACGATAACACTCACTAGAGCAATTAACAGGTTTGGAAAACATTATTTCTGTACTCGTCTAAAAGCACTGCTTTTTTGGTGGTTTAATTTTCTGGTTTCAGGCCGGCAACCCGAACATAGGAGGTAGGGACTACCAGCCGAAGCCTCTGCCCTTAATCCAATGAGTCGCGATGTGTAGATCTTGTCTCAACGGTTAATGGCCCATTGGGGTTGTTGCCATTTTGAAACACTCTTTGTGTGAATGCTTCACGACGCGCACCTCCTCAGTTTATGTGGTTTCATCGCACTTCAATTTGGTCAATTTGGGGACCTCATACTATTGATAACACAAATGCGCTTGGAATCTGCGGTCCCAATAAACTACGATGACGAATTCCACTTCATCCAACGACTAAGTTAGTCCCAAGTTACCTGCAACCAAGCAAAATCTTGAGAAACATAACTACAAATTAATCATTAATTAGACGGATCAGTAAGTAACCAGGTAACTAACACCTCCAATTGCTCTGTGATAGCGCCGAAAGGAACACCTGTAGCTCAAAATGCTATTTGATCATAGCTTGCGTGTTGCAATATGAACGGCCACAGTCGTCTCTGTTGAACCAACGGTCAAAAACACTAGCAATAACTGATCTCACAGGCTAGTCATGACCGACAATTACGGTGCAGTATCGTGTGTAGCATTGTTCACGATTTCTACCAAAGTAAGATAAAAGAAGTACGCTAATAGAAGATGGTTCCGAGCGTAATTCAGTTTGTGGCAAAATCGAAAGTTGGACTAGACCCACCAAAGTCAGAAGAGTCACACTTCCCTGCAAAGGAGTGCAGCATGGTCAACGTGAACTCCTTCGGGTAATACCATTTACTCCTGATGTGACAAAGCCCATTCTACGGTCGAAGCGTTGGC